GATAGTGGATCAGTATTTATCCCTAGCATACTAATGGACTTCAGGAGCCCATTCCACATAGAGGGATACTCCCTCAGCCTAGACACATGGTGGAGGGCCTAGGCCCTGCTCCAAATGGTATGATAGACTTTGAAGACTTCCCCTTGGGAGCAGAAAGGGGGTGGGAGGATGGCAGAGGAGAACTGGGATTGACATGTAAAACAAGCTTGTTTCAAATTTAAATTTAAAAAATTATTAAAAAATAAAAAAGAAGGTTTGGCAGGGCAAGCCTTTAATGGGAACATTCAGGAGGTAGAGGCAAGCAGATAGGTCTCTGTGAGTTAGAGGCAAGCCTGGCATACATAATGAGTTACAGGCCAGCCGGGGTTACATAGTGAGACCCTGTCTCAAAAAAGTCTAATTTAAAAAAAAAAAAAAAAACTTAATAGTGGATTTTGAAAGGAGGGCGGGAGGCAGAGATGTGAATTTCCCTCTAAGTAATGGTCTTCTAGATAGAATGTGCTTGAGTGAGTGTGAACAAAGAACATTTCCCTCCTGGGGAGGCGTCAGGACTGTGGGTGACAGCCAAGGACATAATTTGAGAGTGGGCTCAGCCACCTGTTAATGGCATTCTGATTCTCGAAATTCACTTGTAGCATCTTTATTAAAGGCTTTGGCGCACATGCTGTAATGGCTACCTGACAGAACCACACTGAATTTACAAGGCACAGGGAACTCCAGCTACTCGTCAAACAACTGAGAGAAAACCTCCCAGGGGCTTTCTGTCACGCCTCAGACCTTGCACCCAGCCCCAGCACTAATGAATTCTCACAGTTTGGCATTAGAAGAATTATTCCCGGTAATGCAAGCTTGCTAAAATGTCAGTTTCTGGACTCGTCCTAGAAATGCTGGATTTGCTCAATTTCCAGCACATTCCTGCTGCAGTGTGCCCAAGCCGTCATGTAGAATGAAGCATGCCTGGTAGTGGGTGCATCCGTTGGGATTTTTCTCCTGCTCCATCCAATCTAGAAGAATCAAGAAGATTGTAATTCTCCATTTTAAGCAGGTCTGAACTGAAATCTAAGCCCTACCAGGTATGTCCAACACTCAGGCCTTACTCACCTTAGAAACTATGAATCTGCTCCAATACAAAATTGAAGATTTACAGAAAACATCATGAGAATATTTTTGTGATTTTTTTTTCTTTAAATTGGTTGTGAGGTCCTGAAGTGTGAACTTTGTAGACAACAGTTGTCATGTTGCAATGTCAAAGACTGGACATTCTTTACTGGGATCACAGCTTCGTGTAAGTACTCTTAAGAGTTCTTGGAAGAATTGCAGCCGAGGCAAGTCTGGGCCTTCCCTCCTATGATCATATTTTCATCTTAAAAGATTTGATAAGAATTTCACTGGACAATTATCTATGGGATTAAAGAATTTTTGGAATTATGTATTTTTGTTATTGACCTTTGTATTAATATGCTTTGGGGGGGCATCACAGCTGGGCCTGAGTTCTTAGAAGTTTAGACTTTAGTGATTATGGAGTCATAGCAAATAAATCTACTGGAGTAGATTTTCCTGAGGATTCGGTAGGATGACAGAATCAAGTACCCAGCCAAGCCTCTGGCTTACGGTAGTATTAGCATGGTGAAGGATCTGGCACTTTGTTGTCTCCAGGGAAAATCCTTAAGAAAGAGGTGCTAAATAATTTGTTCCATTTTCCTCTATGTAATCATTTTCAAATCTTTATTTTCTCCTTCCTTCTGTAGCCTTGTCTTTAGTCTTTTATCATCTCCTAATATATGTACAAACACACACACACACACACACTCCTACAAATCAAAGCTAAGTTTCTAATCTCTTTTTTTTCCAACTTTTCACATGCTGTTATTTCCATACCATAAATGTTTGTTTCTTCTGTTTCTTCTGGGATGTTTTTTTCTTCTGTGCAATGTCCTATTCTGGCTTAGGAATAATTTGTTCCTTCTCAGTAAGGATCATCTCAGTGTGGTAGGGGGAGATCATGTATAGGTTAATCCACTGCATCAGTTACTTCTGTTGCTGTGACAGAACACCATGGCTAAGGCAACTTGCAGAAGGATGGGTTTATTGGGGCTTATGGTTCCAGAGAGATAAGTCCATAACCATCACAATGGAGAAGTGTGACAGTTAGGCATAGCTGAGCGCTTACACCTACAAGCTGGATTGGAGAAAGTGAATTAGAAATGGCTGTTGCCTTTATACTCTGTCTTCCAAGCTCCTACAGGAAGGACCATTCAGCTCTGCTTACAGTTCAACTGCTCTTCTAGTTCACAGTCCCAAAGTCACCCACAGTCTTCCCAAAACCAACATGGTCAGGTTCTTCATGGTAATAACCCACTCCCTGGCACCAAGTATTAGTTACTTTTCCATCATGGCGATAAAGCACCACGCTCATGGAAACTCACTGAAGAAAGAGTTTGTTTTTGGTCTTACAGTTCCAGAAGGTCAGAGTTGATAATGGTGGGGACAGGACAGTTGGTGGCAGACATGATGGTGACTGGAGCTGGATGTTGAGAGCTGAGGGCTCATGTCTCAAACTGCAAGCAGGAAGTCGAAAGAGTGCACTCAAAATGCTATGAGTCTTTTGAAACCTTGAAATCTGCCCCAAGTGACATACTTCCTCCAATTGTGATACACTTTCTAAGCCTTTCCTAAATGCCATCAACCCAGGGACCAAGTGTTCAAATGCCTGCACTATAAGGGCACATCTCATTCAAACCAGCATGAGGTAATATTTATAATCTATTAAAGCTTGCCTGAGGGCACAGAAAGCAATGCCAGCCACACTAGTTGGGTATAGAAGCCAGGTGGTGGTGGTACACACCTTTAATGCCACCACTTGGGAGGTGGAGATAGATGGATCTCTGTTAGATCAAGGCCACACTGAGCTACATGAAATTGACCCAGTCCTAAAGAGAAACAGCTCACACAAAGGTGATCTCAGCGCTTGGGACCACATACCTTTAATCCCAGCATTAGGGAAGTATAAAAAGCCAAAGGTCTCATGTGGAGATTGATTCTCCAACCACACTGAGGAGAGGCAGCAGTCAGAGGCTTGGTGGAGAGTTTGTGGAGGCAGGATCAGGCTTTTGAGCCTGAGGTAGAGGTAAGAGCTAGTGGCTTGGCTGCTTTGCTTTTATAACCTTTAGCTTAAAGCTTGAACCCCAATATCTGTCTCTGGGTCATTTATTTTTTTTGTGTTTCACCACCATATCTCCCCATGAGCTCTCTAAGATGGACAGTGCGTCATAGGTGCTTCTTTTCACCTGCATATGCTCAATGGAAGTACCTGCATGAAATCTTTAAAGCCCATTCCTGGGGCATGCCAGGCTCCTTTTAATTCCTTCTCTCACAGTTTCCTATTTTTATTTATCCCTTCTACTTGAACCAAGCCTAAAGCAGTTCTCATATGCTTGCCTATTATACACTTTAGATCCGTTTCCAAGCTGTTATAGGAGAATGCAACTTCCTTTTCAGTGTGTGCCTGGTCTTTCCATCACAGTTTTGCCAGCAGATCCCAAGGACCTGACAGTTTTTCCAGACCTTAAGCTGCACAGATTTGGACTTTCTGCAATTTTGTGCATAGCTGTGGTGTGTGATTCAATAAATTACTTGCCATTCTTCCAATACTCTGCAATTTTGTGCATAGCTGTGGTGTGTGATTCAATAAATTATTTGCCATTCTTCCAATACCTTACTGTTTGTTTCTCTTCAGCAAATGTTCATTCAACCAAAGCCTACTGACATCCCACAGTATTTCAAACACTGTGTTAGATGCTGTGCATAGAAATGAATAAAGCACTATTTCCTATTCATCCATTATGTGTCGGTAAATCTGGGGGGAAAGCAGTACTTTTGTCTAGGAGGAGTTCAATTTGTAGTCTACAAAACAAAGGTAGGCACATAAACATGTATCTGTCTAATGGAACAGTATCTAAGTATCACACATTGTGAAATTGAGAAGGAGCCCCCTCTCCCCCCCCCCCATCTCCCTGGAAGAAACATTTCCATTCCTCTTTGTGAGTAGAAACTTGTCAACCAAAGGACAGCGCCAGAGTAAAGTAAAGGGAAAATAAAGTATCCAAGGCGGGTGGGGGGGATGGGTTGGGGGGGGTTGGTTTCAAATAGGCTCTGAAATGGGACTGGGAAGGGCCTGGAGCCTTCAGACAGGTAGATGGGATTGGTGTGAAGGGTTTATGGAATACTGCGTATGGAAGGATCAAACCGAGAGAACCCAGCTGAAGCAGAGAGTAGAATTTCATTCTGAAGGCAAGCAGGAGAGGAAACTGTTTAAGCAGGGCAGTTAAATAATCCGATTTGTTTCTTACATGTTGGGTCTTACTGATCCAATTAGATGGCATTCTGGTTTTGGCTTCTGAAAGAGTGTATTCTGCTTGTGCAAGCAGAAGATCTTGATTTTTCAAGTCTCGACACGGCAAGTGTCCAGTATACTCATTTCTACCCTAGTGCCCACTTGTGCCAATGATGTTGGGCCAAGAATGTGATTTTGTGCCTCGCCTCTTCAGCTAGGGTTGGGTAAATACACACAGCTTTTGTCTGTCTAAACCATAGATTTTTTTCCATTTATACATATATGTGTTCCATTTATACATATACATACATATATATATAATAAATATTATACATATATATATATATATATACTATTTATTTATTTTTCTGTTATCCAGGGCTTGTCTTATGATGCTCCTCTTGTGAACTGGCTCTTTCGCGCACTTCCACCAGCGAGATACACTCCGCCAGAAGTCACGCCCACATAAGAAGTTGCCGGAGCCGGAAGTCTGTCCCTCGCGGCGCGCCGTCCTCACGTTGCCGTGCGCAGGCGCAGTTCCTGGCTCGGCGGCGTGTTCTCTTCCCCCACTCCACCCCCCAAGTTCCTGGTTTCCCGGCCGGTGAGCGACGCCGGCTTTTCGCGGTCTCGGCGCTCCGGCGGCTGGCTCTGCTCTGCCGCTCTGCGTCCTTCAGCTCGGGGCCACTGCCGGTGCGCGCACGCCGCCGCACGCGACAGACTCATGGCGGAGCGCGGGGAACTCGATCTGACCGGCGCCAAACAGAACACCGGCGTGTGGCTGGTCAAGGTGAGACGCGAGCGAGCCCCGGGGCGCTCCCGGCCGCCGCGTGTCTGCGAAAGTTCTGGTCCCCCGCCCCGAGCCACCCTGCCCTGAGGAGACGAGCCGGTCGCTGTGGGGACCGTTTCCAGGCGGGAGAAGTTACTTTCGGGACGCGGGGCGCCTTGCAGCCAGTGTCGTGGACTTAGTGTTTTTAAAGAGCAAGTTTAGATCTCATGAAACTAAACATCAGTAAATATTTTTTATGGTCATGGCAGGTGTTGTTGGCCCTTATTTGACTTACTTTTGCACATGGGGAGGGGGGATGGAGTCATGGAAGTTTTCCCAATTCACAGGATCTTTTGTTTTATGAGTGTTTTATCTTTATAATGAATGTCAATGTTTTAATTACATGGCTGAGTGCTCGTTAAGTCAAGAAGTTTCTGTCCACTTCTCTGAAACAACTCATCAATTGCCGGCACATCGGACTGTGTTAAACTCCTCAAAGCACTTAACAGTTTCCAGTGACTCTGAGTACCTGTATCCGATGATGACTGCCACCCCTCCCTCCGGAAAGTCACTTACTTTCTTTGCACTCCAGTTAGTGTTTGGCTTTTCCAATAAGTCATAATGAGTGTAAGATGTCTCACTCCTCAGCCTTCATGTCAGCTCTCATTTGTTTACAGCTGTGTAGGCCTGACTTAAAAACTGGGAGCAAATGAACTTTTCTGTTTCCAGCTGTTTGTTAAAACAAGAGTCTCATGGAGATCTCCCTGGTACACAGAAGGGAAGAGCTTGCAAAAATGTTGGGACTTGAGCTGATTTCTTTGTATTTGGAGTATGGCAAATACTCAGTGTTTGCCTTACATGGTTTGGATATAGTATGACAGCGGGAACAGAAATGCCAGTTTGAAAATGCATGCCACACTGTGAGTCCTGGAAATGGAACAGGAGACCCTAGAGCAGAGGGGTGGTATAAGAAAAGGTTGAAGTCAGAGTTTGGGATTGTCATTTCATGAAATGAAAATGTCTTGGTTTTAGTTTTAGGTAGGGTTGCAAGACATTATATCAGAAAAATAGTAAGTTTGGCCTCCTGCAGTGCAACTAGAGGAAATGGTAACTGTCATCAGAAACTGGGCGTTCTTGCAGGATCATAGGTATGTGCTGATGAATTAGGGAAACTTGTTCTGTACAAGCTGCCAGAATTTTGGTGACAGCTTTTCCTGAAAGGAGCTCAGCTCAAGCCAGTGTTTTGTGCCTGTTTTCTGTTCTATAGAAAGAGAGGAGAGTTGGTGTACTGAGCTGAGTCAAGTCAGACCAACAGTTTCCTATGTGGCAGATACCTATCCTCATCACCTTCCTCCAAGCTCAGCCTTTACCTTTTCACAGATGAATAAGGACAGGGGCACTGATGTCCAAAAATCAAAAAGGCCATATGTCAGAGAGACACAAACTAAGATGGGTGGGCACGAGTCTTGTCAGTTTCATTGCATTAAGAGCCTAAGAGATGAGGCGCTGGGTGTGTTTGTGGTGCTGTGTCTGGAGACAAGCAGTTCATGAGGCTGCGCTCTAATTAATGGATTAATTAATTACTCCTTTGGTGGATTCTTACAATGGCTTCTCTGGGAGGTGGTGAAGTGTAGTGAGGTGGGGAAGTAGTTGGAAGAAGTAGGTCCTAGCGATGTGTTCTTAGGGGCTGTGTCTTGCCCTGGCCCTTTCTGTATCCTCTTTATCTTGCCCATTGTGGTGTGAGTAGCAGTGCTCTTCCTTGCTTTTCCCCACCATAATAGGCAGTGCAAAAGTAACTCTTACATTGTATCTGTATTTGGTCACAGTAACCAAAAGTCTGATTAATGCAGATAACACAGCAAAGGCTTGTAAGAGGAAAAAAGAGAACCTCTTCCCTCCCTCCCTCCCTCCCTCCCTCCCCTCCCTCCCCTCCCTCCCTATAGTCCAAGCTGGCATAGAACTCACTCTGTAGTCCAAGCTGGCCTTAAACACATGATAGTCCTCTTCAGTGTGAGCTAGAGTACATGTGCTTCTTGTATATTTATGTTATAAAGTAAAGCTACCAAATAGATATTGCTGTGGTGGTGCATACTTTTAACCCGAGACCTTGAGAGGTCAACCTAAGTTCCAGGCCAGCCAGGAACATAGTAAGACCCAGAGGCTGGACCAGGGCATTGGATTCCCTGGTACCACAGTTATGGATGGTTGTGAGTTGCCATGTAGGTGCTGGGAATTGAGCTGAGGTCCTCTGGAAAAGCAACCAGTGCCTTTGATGCTGAGCTATCTCTCCAGCCCCTATGAAACTAACTTCAGTAGCAAAAACATCAAAACTTCATATGGTTGTTGAAATCCACTGTACCCAGTCTTGTATCACTAGCCCTAGTGAGTCACTGGTGAGTTTTCACATCTGTAGAAAGAGAGGGCATGTGAGTGTGCAGTGTGACCAAGAGAACAGGTGGATAATGGATGTAGAATTTCTAGCATGGAGTCTCACAGAGTTGTTTTCTCATCTTCCTCTTTTCCAGCCGTGGGCATATTATCTGGCACATATTTGTAGTTCAGTAAGTTAGTATGACAAACATACACAGAATTGACTAAACGTGGTCTTTTTTTTACCCCTTTGTTTTTTAACCTTAATGGATCAAGCTATTGTACCCAATAATGAAATCTTGCTAGACTTTCCCCCCACTTTCTGGCCCTGACACCCATATCTTAGTTGTGCATTAGTGTTCGTGGTACTATTCCAAGTTTATTGTGAGAAATGCTGATGACAGATGGTACTCATTGAGTACTTACTCCACACAGCACATTATGCTTTATTCTATATAGTTTTTCCTTTGCTTCTCATAACAGGATAACCTTAACGGTATGTACTGATTTCAGGGTCTAAACTACTTTGAAGAAAGAGACAAAATTGTATACTAGGGAATTAATATATTCCATTTTTCCTTCTTGGAATTTAATGCCTGGTGACTTCTGTATCTGGTTTTAGACATGATATTTGCATGGTCGAGAGCGTAGTCCCTGGTGCATAGACTCTGGAGACGGCTTGGCCTTGACCTAGCTCTGTCATTGCTAATTATATAATCTCAGGGAAGGTATATGAGCTCTAGGTACTCATGATTATCTTGAAATGTTTTGTTTCATTTTAGGTTCCTAAATATTTGTCCCAGCAATGGGCTAAAGCCCCTGGAAGAGGTGAAGTTGGGAAACTGAGGATTGCCAAGTAAGTTATTTATAAATATATATAGGGCATAAACTATAAAAAATTAAAAGATGTTGTTTTTGAAAATGTTTATAATTGCTTTTGAATGTGATCATAGTCTTAGAGAATATATTTAGAGGGTGAGAGTTACTGGACATGTTAAAGCAGGTCATGGGATAGTTATATAGTCTGTGATGAGATAGGTTTGTGCATGTGTGGTAGGTAATGTGAATATGAAGTTAAATTTATTGGCCACACTTGCTGGCAGTGAAGGAGCAGATGACAGGATTTCCCCAGCTCTCCATCTGTTCATGGTGTGCAAAGGTATGCTTGCATTAGGCATACCTAGAAAGTACTTTGATGGAAGGACTTAATGACATTGTGCCTGGCTGTAGGGCTCTGGAAGGAGGTACAGCCTCAGAAGCTTGAGTTTCCTTTTTTCCATCCATCCATCCATCCATCCATCCATCCATCCATCCATCCATCCATCCACATTTGTTGCCCCTCTTCTATAAGGTGTTTGAATCCAGGTCTTCCATTTTTGAAAACATTTTATCAGTGAGTTTCATTGCCAGCCCCAACCCTCCACTTTGTCTATCTTATCTATCTTGGTGTTTTTTGTTTTTTGTTTGTTTGTTTTTAAACACAGGGTTTCTCTGTGTAGCCCAGGTTGTCCTGGAACTCACTCTGTAGATGAGGTTGGCCCTGAACTCAGAGATCCACCTGTCTCTGCTTCCTGAGTTTGGAATTAAAGGTGTACGTTACCATGCCTGACTTTACCCATTCATTAAATAAATGTTATTTTATTTTTCCCCAGTTTTTTTTTTATTTTTTTAAAAAATAATTTATTTTATGTGCGTTGGTGTTTTTCAAACATGTCTGACTGTGAAAGTGTCAGCTCTTGGAGTTATAGGCAGTTATGAGCTGCTATGTGGGTGCTAGCATTTGAACCCAGGTCTTCTGGAAGAGCAGTCAGTGTCCTTAAACCTCTGCCATCTCTCCAGCCCTAAGTTATATGTGGTTTTTGTCTGTATGTGTGTCTGTGTACTACATTCTTGCCTCATGCCTGAAAGGGCCAGAAGAGGGCATCTGTTCCCTTGGAACTGGGGTTGGAGTCAGTTGTAAGCCACCGAGAGGGCTGGAGTTTCAGTCCCCTTCCTCTGGCAGAATAGCCTGTGCTTTTAACTGCTACACCATCTCTCCAGCGACTCATCCATTCACTTTTAATACAGCCCCAGTGAGATTCCCAAGCCTACTTCATTGAAACAGCTCCCATCTGTTACCAGTGTCGCTGTCTTTATCAGTTAGCTTTTGTTTCATAACAGAACTTTAAAAAACTTTTTATTTGCTCACAATTCTGGATTTGTTCTGGTTGGGGCTAACCTGGTTTCCTATCAGGTGGGCGGTGGCCATCTGTTTTGCCTCCAGCCTGTTTCACGTGGTGGTAAGAGTTTCCAGTACCAAAAGAAAAGAGGGCCTATAGTTCAAGCAGTTTGCAAGCCTGAGCTATGTCCGTTTCCTAAAGTCCAGTTAGCCAAAACCAAATTCAAGGGTCTGCAACAGATTCTGACACCATAGAGTTTATTGCTGTAAAAACTTATCCACATCCCCAACTCTTCAGAATCAAGTGGCAGCCATCTTGATTGGCCCTCATCAGAATTTGACATGGTTGATCGCTTCTTTCCTTAAAACTGTTGTCCATCACATGAGGACAGCCCTCTGTCGCCCCTTCCTTCATTGTCTCCTCCTCCTCTGGGTGCTGATAGGCTCCCTACCCCATCTCAGCTCCTTAGTTTATATGACCCCCTCCTCTCAATCATCAGTACTTTTCTTCTCTTCATTTTCTTCTAAGTGGTCTCTGTTTCTTCTGCTAGCTTTAAATACAATTGATGTTTAAATGTCTAGCTCAGGTCTAGTCCTCCCCAAACTCTAGGCTGGTGACTGGCCATCTCTTCCATATTCCCACGTGGATGTCTCAAGTGCAGCTGAGGCTTAGTAATTACTACCTGCTTCTGTCAGAAGCAGCTTCTTCTAGTAGCCCCATGGCTTGCTCCCACACCCTTTTAGGTCCCTGTTGACATAGCACTGCCCCATAGCAGCTTCCCGAGGGCTTCCTGACCAGCCATGGAAAACAGCACACTGTACTTTCTACTTCCTCCCTCATTTTTTCTTGTGTCCTTCCTTCCTTTCATGACTTTTTTTTTTTTTTTTTTTAACTTACCTGCTCTTCTCATCTTACCTACTATGTATTTGCGTATTATTTATCTTTCCTGGTGTATTATGAGTGCTACAAGGTCAGAACTTCTTTTTTGTCTTGGTAATAACCATACTTCTGGTGTTTAGAACAGTGGATGGCATGAGACACACTGAACATAGTTTTGTTAAATCAGTCAGTGAAAACTTCTAAAACAAGTTTAGTAAAACTAGCTATTTTACTCTATTTCTTTATACAGTTGTTTTAAAATTAACAGCTAGTAAACAAGAGTGAACATTTTAGGGCTTAATTTTTTCCTGCTTGTTCTCCTAAAGTATGGAGTTGATGTCCTCTATCCCCCAGATGCCCAGTATCTGTGAAAATTACTTCTCAGGGGTCGTTTTAAAGTTTCTTCAAGAAAAACACATCACTCTGGGGTTAGGTTTATTAGCTTTCTTCTGGGTTTTGCTCTTTGTCATGAATTGTCTTTAAGAAACGATACTTCTTTGTCTTGTTTTGTCTCTTAGTTCTTTGTTTATTATGTGTATGTGTTTGTACACATGTGTATATGCATGTTTAAGTATGTTTGGGTGAGAGAGAGAGCGCGCATGCGCGCCAGTGTGTGGCCAGAGCCAAAGGTCACTCTCAGGTGTTTCCCAGGAGCTGTCTGCTGTCTGCTGTCTGCTGTTTTGTTTTGAGACAGGGTCTGTTACTGAGGCTGGGGGTTCACCAAGGCGTCTGTCCACCTGTGACTCCCCAACAAGCCTCCATGCCTGGCTTTTTACCTAGTTGCTGGGGTTAGGTTCTCATGCTTTGGTGGTAGGCTCTTCACTGACCAGGCTATCACCCAGTTCCAGGTTCCTCCTATTATAAAATAACGTATTGATTGAAAGCAGGTCAGAGTTGTAAAGCTAGGTAGTAACAAACAGCACCTCTTTTTCTCAGGGAAATGATCATGTCTTGATACATTTTTACATATGTTACATATGCTGACATGCTTTACCACCAACTCCCTTGCCCTTACTCCAGATGTTTAATTAATGAACCAGGTTTGAATTCAAGCTGTTGAGTTGTAAGAAACTCCAACAGGAATCAGTTCCATTTGGATTTCTAGACTATGTACAGGTTGCTGAATCTGAGGTTAGATCTCTTGAACTCGTCTGTTCAGGGCTGGTGTGGGAGCTGAGGAAAGGTCTCATTGTCAACTCTGATAGCTTGAACTCAGTCCCTGGGACATACATGATGGAAGACATGTCACTAGTCAACCCCTACAGGTTGTCTTCCAAGCTTTATAGGCTCTCACTCCACCCCCATAAACTACAAATACATTAATTTAAAAAGTTAAATTGCCCGTTTTATGGTGCTTTCATAGGAATCAAGTGAGATAATGTGGAAATAGTTGCTTATGTAGATAAGCATAACATGAGGTGGTGGTGGCAGTGGCGGCACACACCTTCAATCCCAGCACTTGGGAGGAAGAGGCAGGCGGATCTCTGATAGTTTGAGGCCAGCCTGGTCTATGAAATGAGTTCCAGGACAATCATGAAGGTTATACAGAGAGACCCTGTCTCAAGATACAAAAAAGGAAAAAAAAAAAAAAAAAAAAATAGCATGAGCCTATTCCTGGACAGTTGTAAATATTTTCCTGAGTCATCATACATGATTGTTTTGGGATGCTGAGGGTGGGGCTCACAGATGGTAGGAAAGTACTCCCCCACTGAAATGCTGCAGTACATCACTTGCTGACAGAAGCAAAGAATGCACACCTTCAGTTAAACTCAATGTTTCCTGCTCAAGTAGGACCCTTAGAAATGCAGCAGACAGTTGCCTACTTTCTTTAAAGGACCCACTTAAACATTTTCATATTAAATGTAATTATATCATTATCCCCTCTAACCCCTCCATGTACCCCACTCTTTAGTTATCACCTCTTTTTCTTTAATTGTGAGACTGTGTGTGTGTGTGTGTGTTTGTGTGTGTGTGTGTGTGTGTGTGTGTGTAAAAATTCCTCAATATGTAAATACAACTTGTTTAGTCCATACTTCTCTGTTTTCAGGGCTGAGGATTTGGTATTAGATAATCAGTTGGTGTGCTCTTCCCTGGGGAAGGCTATTTCTCCTCACCTCAGCATTCCTTCTTTGCCTTAGTTCTTTTTTAGGGTTGAGGCTCTATGCGAGTTCTTTTGTCTGTGTTAGCATGTTTCTTGGTGTTGTCCTTCATTGTGCAAGAGGGGGTGGGAAGAGTGTAAGGAGCAGAGGGACAGGGAGTTTGCTATTGTATCTCCTAGAAATGCCAGAAGGACTTAATAATTTTTATGTTGTTTTACTGAAATGGGAGCCCATACCAAGATGAAAGCTGAGATGTGTGTCATTGAAGAAAGTCAAGGCAAAGGCAAAAGGCGTCATTTATACACTGAACCCCTTGTCATGTGGTGTGTATGACTTCACTCGACTCAGGACCTGGCTTCTCCTCCTGAATATTGTACATAGCTGTTGGCTGTTAGGGAATGTTATTGTAAAGTGTGTGCCTTTTGTTTATGCTCCATTTGTTTAACTCTGTGAAGCTGTGATTTTCTGTCTAAAACACTTGATGGTCTAATAAAGAGCTGAAGGGCCAATAGCGAGGAAGGAGCAAGGATAGGCGGGGCTGGCAGGCAGAGAGGATAAATAGAAGAACCAAGGAAAAGGAGGAGCACATGAGGGTCCAGCTACTCGGCCAGGCACAGGGTAAGACGAAAAGTAAGATATACAGAAGTAAGAAAGATAAAAGCATAGAGGGAAAAGGTGGAAGGGCTAGAAACAAGCCAAGCCAGGCAGTCATAACTAAT